CAAATAAAAGTGTACATAAAATTTTTTTTTATCAACTTATGTGCTTTTTTGCTGAAGATACAATAAACAGAGTTCGAGGAAAATCACTATTCCTTGGGACCAAACGTATTCAATTTTTTATGAACATACTTTGTGTCTTTTATTTGAATGCAGATAAATATAGCATGAGAAATATGAAGTAAAGAAAAGATAAATTACTCGTTAATGATTTTTTTCTTGTTAAAGATTTTCTGTTTTTGTGACTTGAAATAATTAAAAGCTCACATAAAATTTGGTCGTATATAATTCAGTTTTTTTTTCTCAAAGTACAATTTATAGAGTTCGAGGGGAATTAATTGATAATCCTTGTAGTCAAACGTGTCTAATTTGTTTATGTACTATTTTATACTGGATGGCTTTCATTCAGATGCAGATAATTATAAGTAATTTGAAGTGCAGAAAAGACGAGTAAGTCCTTATTAGTTTTTTTGATGAAATGTTTCAAAGTTTTATAGAAAAATCCATACGGGACTTGAAAATACTTTTAAACCCATAATTTTTCTAAATTTTTCTCATTTAATCATAGTTACTCGTTGTTATGTACAATCATAATAGCGATGGTATAAGCTTTGACCACAAATCAAGATGATTACAAAAAGGTAATATTATTTGCTAATACTTGATAACTAGCAACGTAAATATATTTATAATTATTCATACACAACAAAAAATTGAAAAACCATGATTGTTATGTGAATTATTTTATTTGTAACAATAACTGTATGTATTTGTACATAAATATGTATATATATATATATTTTTTTTTTTTATATTACAGTGTACTAACCTCTGAGAGGTTTGTACACCACTTTATTCAATACATAAATATACTTACATCTTACTGTAAGCCTATCGCGAATTCTGAACGAAGACGGACGAGTCCACCTTTTATCTCATTCGACCATTAAACTTTTTATCGGTACATTTAAGTCATTTCATTGGGCAGAAACCTATTAAAAAAATATTAGTATAAGAATTCACAATAATTTACGGATCCATTATCAACTTTATATTAATCATTAGTAGGTGGACGAATCGCTTCAGTGCAATGTAGAAGCTATTGTAATTTTATACTCGGTTGCGTTGCATTGACTAATTTACAAAACAATTACACTGTTTGCATCAAAATTTTTTTTAGCAAACAAAAAGTGTTTCCCATCCTCGATACAAAATGGCAAACCATCAAATTTTGCTCAAGTTGACTATTACTATGCTCTTGTATTTCATACATTGCTCCCTTAATATTCTGGTAGAAGGGCAGTGTTCACGTGTTAAATACGTGGAGAAATTCAAAACGTGGTACTATTGGATTGGCTCAAATTATCGTCCTAATCTACGTTATGGGGAAGGACCGAGACGTTTGGTTGGACTGGACCGTTTTTATATTGACGAGTACGCGGTGAGCAATGCAGATTTTAAAAAGTTCGTCGACGCCACTGGATACGTAACCGAAGCTGAAAAAAAAGGCTGCTCAACAGTATATGACAAATATTTAGTACCATCTGCTAAAAATAAGATTAGACAGTCTGAGGTTATTTCATCAGGATATCTGTCCGTCAGAAATGCTACTTGGAGGACACCTCTAGGAATCGGCTCCAGTATATCAGGTTAACAATTACTGAACTCTTTTGATATCTTTTTATTTAGCATAGTGAAATTAAGACTCTTGATATAAGAAAAATTACAAAAAAAGAGGACTAAGTGAGAATATTATGCTACAAAAAGTAAATATATTATGTACTAGGTGCATTACTTATAGATTTTATGGTAACACATACTCGATATCCATGGTTAGTATATACCCCAAAGGTGATCTACCAAATGTAAGTATTTTTCAACATGTTAAGTACTCTTTTATTAGCTTGCATCTATCTAAACTGAACAAAAATACACAAATGAATTTATGAAGCAATTGCGCATCAATAAAATTGTAAACTGCGAAATCTCGCTGAATAACGTGAAATTGTAATTGCAGAATCAATGAACTTTGCAGTCGTGCATGTTTCTTGGAATGACGCCGCAGCTTACTGCAAGTGGGCGGGTAAAAGACTGCCAACCGAAGCTGAATGGGAGGCTAGTTGCAGAATCAAAGACAAGCTCGTGGATGACATAACTGAGCATCCTCCTGGACGTTGTTCGCTAAAATTCAATGGTAAGCACAGGCTTGTTTTATATTGATCGTAGTATTTCGACGAGTTGTATTCAATATTTCTTCTAATATTGACATTTTTCAGAAAACAAGTGTCGAAGTCTCACGGATTTTGACATCAACGAGGACTGTTTGAAAGTAATGGGATTGCCCGTTTATTATAAAACTTATTTCTCTGAGTGGGCTGCAGATTGGTGGGAACTTGAGCGTTCAATTCGATACAACCTAAATCCTGTAAGTAAAATCTTACGTTTAAAAGATAGGCTATGAAGATTTAAACTTAGCAGTTCTAGCTTTTTCTTTCCTGTTAATCTGGCCGGTACAACAGTTTTTTAACTTTTCTTGTGGAGGAAAATTTCGACAGAAAAACCTGAGAGTTCTTTTTAAGTAATTGTTGCCCCAGACAGCGTATTAAATTCTTGTTAATTTCAATTTTTATTATTATTAACTTTAATATTTCTGTATTACAATGTGTTTGAAATAGTAGGATTCTTAGAAATCTAATTTTTTTTGCTGTTATTACTCGAAACTGTTGTAACAAAAATATATTCAGATCATACTAAGGATAAATAATGAAATAGAAAGTGTTTCTTACCAACAAAATTATCATATAGAAACTTTTTTAGTGACATCGGTGACTACTCACTTAATTTATCGCATAGCGTTTTTTTCCAAGTTTTCATTCTAAAATTTCCCTACGGGAGTGAGAAAGTAGAATCATTTAGGTGTCATAGGTTTTAGAATGATAGCGTAAAGACACTATTTAAAAAACTTGGACTTTTAGATCCAAATCGATGTAGCTTATCTTATTATCAAATACGTGCTTATTTTTAGAAAACAATTGAAAACTACAGAACTTATATCTATTTTAGACTGGACCTAAACGTGGGACTCACAAAGTAGTTAAATATAGTCACTTGAATTGTGACGATACCCAGGAATGTGTCAGATCATCTTCATGTACACATAGAACGCCAATGTTTGCTAATGCCGCATCAAATGTTGTAGGCTTCCGATGTGTTTCAACATCCCCGAATGTTAAATGAATAATTTCCAAACAAGCACTACTTAAGTTTGTAAACCAATGTTTTGTTTATTATAACTCCTATGTACTTTTGATGTTAATATTATTTTTTAATTATGGTTGAGGGATATTGGATAAAATAAAGATTATCGAAAAATATTTAAAAAAATAACCTTTATTGTAAAATGTACAAAATTTGAGGTAGTACCTGTCTTCTACGTTATATTAAACTGACACAGTTAAAAACTAACTATTTAATATTCATCCAAAATTATTCTTTTAATTGAAAGTATTCCTTTCTTAAAATTTACGTGTGCACAGTGACTTTTGTTTATCAATGGTGATATAAAAAAGAAATTGATTGTACTAAGTCGTTTTAGATGTACTCGACAGATATTTTAAATTTTAGTGTGAAATCTGAATTCTATCAGAAATAGCTTGCTCTCTGGTGCTGAATGAAAATATAAATCTTTATTAATCTTTTTTAATGGCTATAAAGTTACATTTCTTTGAGTTGTGCTTAATTGCATAATTTTTAGCTTGAATATCTCTACTCATTTAAATTAAGATCGTACTTTGGGAAATATTTTTAATGAAGCTTCAATTACAGTATGTATACGAGGCACGTATCTTTTTAACGTTTTTGCTACTAACCATTATTTGTTGTTTCCAAGGGCATAACCATTTTTTTTGTCAGATTGCAATTGAGATGTAACTTCTCACATCAACGTCTAAATGTATAGATGTAGAAGGATTGTAAACAAAAACAGCGTTTCAAGGTCTAGATATATTTTTTAAGGTTGCATGAGACATGTGACTACTTTTTTAGTTATAACTTCTCGGTATTTATCATATTTTGGCTAAAGCAACTAAATCGCAAATAAATTTTCCTTATTTCAAGATAAAATAATTTTAGATATACAATAAGTATAGTTTATATTAGCTTTTTGGTGCTTGTCATGCTATTTTTGGTGTCCCGTTGTTCATTTTGATTGTCTGACCAAGTTTGTGTTTAAGTTATATAAATTTGGGTGGGTACGATTGTTCTGATACAGCAGCTTAATAATTTCATATCTGGGAAAGGAAATCAAAGAAAAAATGTTTTCTACGACTTAGATTACAGAACTTCAGTATACTCTTAATTTAGTTCTTGACTATGCCACTTTCTAGTAAAAGTTTTAGGTCAAACTTCAGTTACAAAACATTGTGGAACCAGACTTTTTTATACCGAAACTTTATAATGGTCATGATGAAAAATTGCCTGTCTTTAACACTCAAATATAAAATTAGTGGAATAATAATACTCAAATTTTTGTAAACTTTTAAGTCATATTCTATGGATTAATCATTAATTAGTTTGGCTGAAAATTTTTTTTAGGGAGAAAAAGTTTTTATTGTTTATGGAATTTACAAATAGTAAGATATTTAACGAACTACCATATTTTTTTATTCCCAAATAATGCATTACATTGTATGTTTCAACGGGCACACTTTCTTTGATGACGAAAAAATACTTAGAGTCGAAAGTCGTTTAGATTACGAATCCCTGTCATATGACAAAACATGTACTTGAATATCGTTCTAGTTAGTTCTAATAATAGCACTTTCGTATACCAGCCTTGCTTAACATGCCTGAGTTGAACATCGTCACTATATTGTAAGCGGGCATACTGGAAACGCAGCGCAGGTAACTCTGTTGAATTTTCGTTAAAGCGTTCACTTGACACACCTTAATTTCCTTCATATAGATTGGTGCGGAAGAAATATTGCTTTTTTGTTATTTGAAAAATGGCAGTCTATTATATGGGACTGAAGATGACTGCCGTTTGTCTTATTGCTTTTTTGGTACGATGCTTACTTAGTTTACCAACAGAAGAGTGGTCTTCGTTTAAGGATAGTCGGACTGTGTCGACAGTAATGGCCAACTGGCACTACATTGGCACAGATGACCTGAATCATCAGTTTAACGGTGAAGGACCCAGACGTCTGACTAAACTAAAAACCTTTTACATCGATAAGTATCTTGTAAGCAATGTAGACTTCGAGATGTTTGTCAAGGAAACTGGTTACATGACCGAAGCTGAGAAGAATGGCAGCTCACACGTATTTGACGAGTTTTTGAGCCCAAGGGTCAAGAGAAACATTCGGCAAGCTGTACTGACTACTTCTGGGGCATTATTCGCCAAGAATGCCGATTGGAGAAGACCCGAGGGCATCAATTCCAATTTATTAGGTTCGAAATCTCTCAGACTTCATTTCTTAGTTTTTTTTTTGGAGCCAATAACATTTAAATAATAAGAAAATGAACTATCAGATAGGATGGATCTCGCGGTCGTTCACGTTTCTTGGAAAGATGCGGCAGAATACTGCAAGTGGGTGAATGGAAGACTTCCAACCGAAGCTGAATGGGAAGCCACTTGTAGAAGTGGACCTGATGACAAGCGGCACACTTGGGGAAACAATATGCTAATGCCAAATGGCCAATCAAAGTAGAATAAATTTTATTTAGTAATGAATAAACTAGACTCGTTTCAGATACATTGTAGATTTGGTATTTTTAGAAAAAACACTGAGTACGAGACGGTTTTGACGGATGATCTTAATAATATCGACTACATTTTGTCAAGTAACCGCAATAATCGAAATCCTATTGTCAATATATGGGAATGGACTTCAGATTGGTGGACGGTCAAACACTCGGCTGAACGACAAATTGACCCTGTAAATATACATTCTATAGAAGATCCGTTTTTTTTTTATGGTGATAGAAAATTGGAACAGTATTTCATTTTTCAGACCGGACCTCCGAGTGGATCTGACAAGGTCACGAAAGGTGGTAGCTCCTACATGTGTCTAGAAGGCTACTGTTCAAGGAATAATTGCGCTGCTAGACGTCAGCACGCTCCAGACTTTTCAGCCAACAACATAGGCTTCCGATGTGCTTCAACACATGATTATTACTAATTTCAATAATAATGCGTACTACTCATGCTGTTTTTTAATTGAACACCGTAATCTAAATTAGTTGCAAGGTTTTCTTGGGATCGCCACTAACATTCATCAAATAAATGTCTCAAATGAATGATAATTTCTTTCAAGCACCATAATCTCTCACAAACGCGTAATTTTGGCAACACTACAATAGTTATATGAATTGATGGTAAATATAATTATTACTATGAATATTTTTTGGACACAAAGGAAACGGTTCTATGAAAAAATTTCTCAAAGCAGTTAGTAAAATTTCAACACGACGATCATGAAATCTGTTGTCAGCTTGATGGGTTCCACATAAGTTATTTGGAACAAAGTCTTTCGGATCAACAAATTTGAGTGCTAAAGATGTAAAGAGTTAAAATATTTCAAATGAAAGGGCTTAAGACTCAGGAGTTTTTGATTTTCAAGTTTCAAGAATAGAAGTGTAGCTTTGAGATTTAGAGTTTTAGCTTTTGAGCACTAGAATTTAGAGTTCGATGTTGGGGTTGGATGTGAGCGAATTTACGGGTTAGTGGTGTATAAACATAAAAAATTATAATTTTAGTTTAGGGATACAGGAATTTTATAATTATATTTTGTGAGCTACAACAACTAATTTTAACAGTTTTTTACGATTAACGGAAGTTCAAGATGCAGTTGTTACAAAGGTTTGAGAAATTAAAAATTAACCCTACAAAATATGAATAGAAGACATACTTTAGCGACTATTAAGAAAAAATAAAAAATTCTGAATCGATGTAATTAGTTATGTTTATACGTTTAGAATTTTAACTGTAAAATAATTGTTTAGAAATTCTAAAGCTTTACTACTATTGTTGATGCATATGTTAGAGATTTTTATTTTGAAGAAAGTGTCATTTTCAGAATTTTATCGGAATATTCCTTAGTAATAAANGTCAAACGTGTCTAATTTGTTTATGTACTATTTTATACTGGATGGCTTTCATTCAGATGCAGATAATTATAAGTAATTTGAAGTGCAGAAAAGACGAGTAAGTCCTTATTAGTTTTTTTGATGAAATGTTTCAAAGTTTTATAGAAAAATCCATACGGGACTTGAAAATACTTTTAAACTTATAGTTTTTATAAATTTTTCTCATTTCTTCATAGTTAGCCTTGACCACAAATCAAGATGATTGTTAAAAAGGTAGTAAAATATTTGAGAATACTTGATATCAGACAACATAAAAGTGTTTGTATTTATTGATACACGACAAAAATGGAAATAGCTATTGATTGTTGGTTAAACTAATTTAATTTATAATATCAATTGTATATATTTGTATGAAACGTAATAAGTATTATCATGAACTATCACAAATTACGAACAAAGACGGACAAATCCACCTTTATCTAACTAGACTATTTAATTTTTTTTCGGCACTTTTAAGTTGTTGCATTAGAGAAAAACCTATCGACAAAATAATAGTGTAAGAATTTACAACTAAGTTACGAATTTGTTATTAACTTTGTATAAATCGTCAGTAGTCTAGACGATTCGCTTCAGTGCGACGTAAAAGCTTTTTAAGTTTTTATATTCGTGAGTGTTGCATTTATTATTACAAAAATAGTGACTCTAGTTGTATCCAAATATTTTTTAGTGAATAAAAAAAAAAATTTCCAGCATCGATACAAAATGACAAACTATCAGATTATGCGCAAGTTGGCTATTACTATGCTCCTGTATTTCATACATTGCTCCCTTAATATTAAATACGTGGAGATATACAAAACGTGGTACTATTGGATTGGCTCAAATAACCCTTCTTATCTAAGTAATGGTGAAGGACCGAGATGTCCTGGATGTACACATTGCGATTATTTTATTCAATGAAAATTTTCAGGAATTCGTGGGCCTCTTGCTCTTACCGTTCGTTATCCGCATGTTATTCTATAGTTATAACTGCTTGATATCTATTACGTTTGGGGCAAAGCAAGAAATGTATTTATGTATAATTTTTCTTTACTCAGATGTCAATATCAATTGTCTCAACAAGTTCATGTTAGAGTAATATCACAATTGATGGATAACATTTTTCTGACTTCGTAACTTCACGGTTTAGAAAAAAATTTCAAAGAAAAAAGTTCTACTATTGCTATGAGATTGTAGAACTCAAAAATACTCAGATGTACACTGTAACTTTACGGAAGAAGCTTTAGGTTAAAATACTGTTACTAAAGATTGTGAAACTTGGAGTTTTCCATACCAAAATTTATGAAATATTCATGATTGTGTTAGAAAAATTACTTCTATTTTAGAGGACCTGTCTGTATAATACGTGTACAGCGAAGATGGAAAATATTTTCTGATCAACGGTTCTTATTGGTTTTGGTTCTTATCGGCAAATGATAATTAATTATAGTTTAGAGCCAAGGACCCTGATCTGAGCCTGTCTTGTGAAATTTTTTCGCTCGTGTTCTTTTAATAGGGATAAGTGCTACAATTTTATCCGACTACAAGGCCATCACAGTCCAAGATTAGAGGTATTTCGTGATTGGAGTACCATTAAAAATAGATTAACTTCCTCGTGCATTGATAAGATACTTTTTTCATCTCTTCATCCTTACACCGGATGAATCCTAAAAAAATTCTACGACGCGCGGCTTTGTCTTTTTACAACAGCGTCATGTAATGATGAATCAAAAGAGCTATTTTGGATATCTGGAAATATTATTCGTAGGAGTACAATTTATTTACAATATTTATACACACGGAGTGGAAAAATAGAGAAATTTGTACATCCTAGCTGTGTTTGCGTAACTTTGTTCACTTGAACAAGAGTTTACGGGTGCATTAGAAAGAAGACGTAATGAATTATGTGGGGTCCTTCGCGTGCAAGCAGAATAATAATACTGGCAAGGATTTCACCAGTTTGTTGAGTAGGAAGTGAAATTTTTTTTTACGTTTTTGAGACATTGTTCATTGTACTTAGCTTTAATTTATAGTATGCGTTGATATATAAACAGTTGGTAGAATAATTGTCTTATAATGTTAGATGTAAACTTTTTACAGGTAATATACTTTGGAAATTATATATTACAGATGGTAATAAAAAAACAAAGAATTCCTTATAAATGACAATTTCGTTTGAAACTCCTCATTCCAATAATAGTTATACATGTATTGTTAGAGGTCATGTATTGTTAAACTAGCCTGAAAGACACTCCAAGGCATTAAATAACACATCTACATCTCTAGTTAATGTAGCAAGACGTTTTATTTCATATCTCACAGTTTATATATGACTACTAGATTGAAAAATTCTGAAGTTAACATAATATATAAAAAGAGAGCAATGAAGTACCTTAACATTAAACCAAAGCTTACTTAAAATTTCCATTTGACCTTACATATTTATTCTTAGAGTTATAAAAAGATTTTTCTAACGTTTTCTGTTTTTTTCAATTCAAACAAATAAAAGTGTACATAAAATTTTTTTTTATCAACTTATGTGCTTTTTTGCTGAAGATACAATAAACAGAGTTCGAGGAAAATCACTATTCCTTGGGACCAAACGTATTCAATTTTTTATGAACATACTTTGTGTCTTTTATTTGAATGCAGATAAATATAGCATGAGAAATATGAAGTAAAGAAAAGATAAATTACTCGTCAATGATTTTTTTGACGAAAAGCACAAAAATTCCAGAAAAAATCTATAAGCAAAACACTTTTGTAAATTTTTTTCATTTCTCTATAGTTACACAAGTGTGTCAAGTACAAATTAAATATCCGTGGCATAAGTCCTGACTGAAAATCAAGATATTCATCAAGAATTTTTTTGTTACCTTCTACGTATACTTTTACATCTTAACTTAATTCACTGATTCGGAATTTACCAGAATAGTACTATTCGTTTAAAGTGTAATTATTTAAACAAATACAAAAGTGTGTGAACTTTGGTTTGGACTACAATATTTTAATAATTTAGACAATTTTAGTAACAAAAGGTCTCTCGAATAATATTGTTTGTTAGTATTAGACAAATCACGAATTTTTCAAAATTTGAAATGAAAGTAAGTACTGTTCGCTTTGATGATGAAACCAACTTTTTTTGACATGTTGCATATGTTGGATCTATTGAGCGATCAGGTTATATGTTAGTTGCATAGAATTTATAAATAAAGAATGTTTTTTATCATTTTTTTATAAAAATTCGTAATGTGCTGGCAAAAATACTGTTTTTTTGAATCATGTTTGCAATATTTTTTGTAATTATGATTTTATTTTTGGCTTACGTGATAGGGCACTGTCAATTCAAATTTATGAATTACTTCATTTTTTAAGTGCAGTCCATTAAAAAATAACTCTGTGAAAAATATCAAGTCATTTTGAGCTATGCACCAAAAGTTTTAGTGTACCAAAGAAACGAATTTTTTTAAAAGTCATCTGAAATCCAGAGGCTTTTCTCTACTAAAATGATAAAAACTATCTCATACCTTTTGTATCATTTTTTATTTATAATATCCATATAATAGAGCTACTCTTAAAGGGTAAAAAGAAACTAGCAATTTGATCACATATTAAAAATAAAAAACAAAGCCGAACACATCCACCTTTGTCTTATTTGACCATTAATTTTTCCATCTGCCCTCATAAGTCATTTTACTTAAGAGTCAGTACGTTTTATAATTCACTATCAGCGTGATGTGATCGATTTTGAAATTTCTATACTTGGCTGTGTAGCATTCAATAATTTATAAAATAGTTTATACTCATAACTTTTGTAAACTTTATTTATTTCTTTGTACAGTTACACGTTGTCAAGTACAATTATAATCCATATGGCATAAGCCTTGACCACAAATCAAGATGATTTTAAAAAGGTAATAAAGTATTTGCTAATACTTGATTTCTGGCAACGTAAATATGTTTGTATTTATTGATACATAACGAAAATATGAAAAAAAATGATTGTTAAGTGCATTAATTTTATTTATAACAATACCTGTATGTATTTGTACATAAATGTACTTACATATTACTATAAGTCTATCACGAATTCTGAACGAAGACGGACAAGTCCACCTTTTATCTTATTCGACCATTAAACTTTTTATCGGCACATTTAAGTCATTTCATTGGACAGAAACCTATCAAAAAAGTAATAGTATAAGAATTTACAATAATTTACGGATCCATTATCAACTTTATAAGAATGAGCAGAAATGAGATAATTTGCTTCAGTTGGATGTAAAAACTTTGAGAATTTTTATACTCAGCTACGTTGCATTTTACTGATTCATAGAATAGTGACTCTATTTGTATCCAAATATTATTTAGTAAATAAAAAAAAATTTCCAGCATCGATACAAAATGACAAACTATCAAATTATGCTCAAGTTGGCTACTACTATGCTCTTGTATTTCATACCTTGCTCCCTTAATATTCTGGTAGAAGGGCAGTGTTCACGTGTTCAATACGTGGAGAAATACAAAACGTGGTACTATTGGATTGGCTCGAATAACCCTTCTTATGTCAGTAATGGTGAAGGACCGAGACGTTTGGTTGGACTGGACCGTTTTTATATTGACGAGTACGCGGTGAGCAACGCAGATTTTAAAAAGTTCGTCAACACCACTGGATACGTAACCGAAGCTGAAAAAAAAGGCTACTCAATAGTACATGATGAATACTTAGTACCATCTGCTAAAAAGAAAATTATACAGTCTAAGGTTATTACATTAGGGTATCTGACTGTAAGAAATGCTACTTGGAGGACACCTCTAGGAATCGGCTCCAGTTTATCAGGTATATCGTAACTAAGCTAATTTTTTATCATTTTTTTTTAATTTTCAAAGTTAAACTTGAACTCTTAATGCAAAGAGACTGACGCGACAAACATCAGAGAGTAACTATTTTATACGTTAAAAGAAAATGTTTTAAAATTTGTGGTTATTCATCACCAATGAAACAAGATTGTACATATTACATTGATCGTTTCCCATTTTACTTAGATTTAATTCTGCAAGATTTTTTGTACCACTTGAATAACTTTGAATACGAATACATAGAAAATTTTTTAAGATATGCAATATCTGTATCTATTTGATATCGACGATCATTTTGATGAAAAGGCAGTCCTAAGGACAATTTTTTTATTTTTTATGTTTTTATATATACACATCTACTCAACACTTACAATAGTAAACCCTTTCTTAAGTTATCAGAATGAATTTGTATATTGCTTACTTTCGTTTGAAATTTAAAAAAATACATTACGGACAACTATAAAACACTTAAAACTTTTGGCACGTAAACGTTTCTCAATATGTGTTGTGCTTTATCGTTGGCCAGTAATGTATATGATTATTTTTTGTAGCAAATTCATCAATTATGTACCAAATAATTAACTTATAGTTGTACTATAGTTTAACAGACGTGATATCGAGATTTTGTAGATACCCCAAAAATGATCTACCAAATGTAAGTATTTTTTAACACGTTAAGTACTCTTTTATTAGCTTGTATCTATCTAAACTGAACAAAAATACACAAATGAATTTGTGAAGCAATAACGCATCAATAAAATCGTAAACTGCGGAATCTCGCTGAATAACGTGAAATTGTAATTGCAGAATCAATGAACTTTGCAGTCGTGCATGTTTCTTGGAATGACGCCGCAGAGCCTGTCTTGTGAAATTTTTTCGCTCGTGTTCTTTTAATAGGGATAAGTGCTACAATTTTATCCGACTGCAAGGCCATCACAGTCCAAGATTAGAGGTATTTCGTGATTGGAGTACCATTAAAAATAGATTAACTTCCTCGTGCATTGATAAGATACTTTTTTCATCTCTTCATCCTTACACCGGATGAATCCTAAAAAAATTCTACGACGCGCGGCTTTGTCTCTTCACAACAGCGTCATGTAATGATGAATCAAAAGAGCTATTTTGGATATCTGGAAATATTATTCGTAGGAGTACAATTTATTTACAATATTTATACACACGGAGTGGAAAAATAGAAAAATTCGTACATCCTAGCTGTGTTTGCGTAACTTTGTTCACTTGAACAAGAGTTTACGGGTGCATTAGAAAGAAGACGTAATGAATTATGTGGGGTCCTTCGCGTGCAAGCAGAATAATAATACTGGCAAGGATTTCACCAGTTTGTTGAGTAGGAAGTGAAATTTTTTTTTACGTTTTTGAGACATTGTTCATTGTACTTAGCTTTAATTTATAGTATGCGTTGATATATAAACAGTTGGTAGAATAATTGTCTTATAATGTTAGATGTAAACTTTTTACAGGTAATATACTTTGGAAATTATATATTACAGATGGTAATAAAAAAACAAAGAATTCCTTATAAATGACAATTTCGTTTGAAACTCCTCATTCCAATAATAGTTATACATGTATTGTTAGAGGTCATGTATTGTTAAACTAGCCTGAAAGACACTCCAAGGCATTAAATAACACATCTACATCTCTAGTTAATGTAGCAAGACGTTTTATTTCATATCTCACAGTTTATATATGACTACTAGATTGAAAAATTCTGAAGTTAACATAATATATAAAAAGAGAGCAATGAAGTACCTTAACATTAAACCAAAGCTTACTTAAAATTTCCATTTGACCTTACATATTTATTCTTAGAGTTATAAAAAGATTTTTCTAACGTTTTCTGTTTTTTTCAATTCAAACAAATAAAAGTGTACATAAAATTTTTTTTTATCAACTTATGTGCTTTTTTGCTGAAGATACAATAAACAGAGTTCGAGGAAAATCACTATTCCTTGGGACCAAACGTATTCAATTTTTTATGAACATACTTTGTGTCTTTTATTTGAATGCAGATAAATATAGCATGAGAAATATGAAGTAAAGAAAAGATAAATTACTCGTCAATGATTTTTTTGACGAAAAGCACAAAAATTCCAGAAAAAATCTATAAGCAAAACACTTTTGTAAATTTTTTTCATTTCTCTATAGTTACACAAGTGTGTCAAGTACAAATTAAATATCCGTGGCATAAGTCCTGACTGAAAATCAAGATATTCATCAAGAATTTTTTTGTTACCTTCTACGTATACTTTTACATCTTAACTTAATTCACTGATTCGGAATTTACCAGAATAGTACTATTCGTTTAAAGTGTAATTATTTAAACAAATACAAAAGTGTGTGAACTTTGGTTTGGACTACAATATTTTAATAATTTAGACAATTTTAGTAACAAAAGGTCTCTCGAATAATATTGTTTGTTAGTATTAGACAAATCACGAATTTTTCAAAATTTGAAATGAAAGTAAGTACTGTTCGCTTTGATGATGAAACCAACTTTTTTTGACATGTTGCATATGTTGGATCTATTGAGCGATCAGGTTATATGTTAGTTGCATAGAATTTATAAATAAAGAATGTTTTTTATCATTTTTTTATAAAAATTCGTAATGTGCTGGCAAAAATACTGTTTTTTTGAATCATGTTTGCAATATTTTTTGTAATTATGATTTTATTTTTGGCTTACGTGATAGGGCACTGTCAATTCAAATTTATGAATTACTTCATTTTTTAAGTGCAGTCCATTAAAAAATAACTCTGTGAAAAATATCAAGTCATTTTGAGCTATGCACCAAAAGTTTTAGTGTACCAAAGAAACGAATTTTTTTAAAAGTCATCTGAAATCCAGAGGCTTTTCTCTACTAAAATGATAAAAACTATCTCATACCTTTTGTATCATTTTTTATTTATAATATCCATATAATAGAGCTACTCTTAAAGGGTAAAAAGAAACTAGCAATTTGATCACATATTAAAAATAAAAAACAAAGCCGAACACATCCACCTTTGTCTTATTTGACCATTAATTTTTCCATCTGCCCTCATAAGTCATTTTACTTAAGAGTCAGTACGTTTTATAATTCACTATCAGCGTGATGTGATCGATTTTGAAATTTCTATACTTGGCTGTGTAGCATTCAATAATTTATAAAATAGTTTATACTCATAACTTTTGTAAACTTTATTTATTTCTTTGTACAGTTACACGTTGTCAAGTACAATTATAATCCATATGGCATAAGCCTTGACCACAAATCAAGATGATTTTAAAAAGGTAATAAAGTATTTGCTAATACTTGATTTCTGGCAACGTAAATATGTTTGTATTTATTGATACATAACGAAAATATGAAAAAAAATGATTGTTAAGTGCATTAATTTTATTTATAACAATACCTGTATGTATTTGTACATAAATGTACTTACATATTACTATAAGTCTATCACGAATTCTGAACGAAGACGGACAAGTCCACCTTTTATCTTATTCGACCATTAAACTTTTTATCGGCACATTTAAGTCATTTCATTGGACAGAAACCTATCAAAAAAGTAATAGTATAAGAATTTACAATAATTTACGGATCCATTATCAACTTTATAAGAATGAGCAGAAATGAGATAATTTGCTTCAGTTGGATGTAAAAACTTTGAGAATTTTTATACTCAGCTACGTTGCATTTTACTGATTCATAGAATAGTGACTCTATTTGTATCCAAATATTATTTAGTAAATAAAAAAAAATTTCCAGCATCGATACAAAATGACAAACTATCAAATTATGCTCAAGTTGGCTACTACTATGCTCTTGTATTTCATACCTTGCTCCCTTAATATTCTGGTAGAAGGGCAGTGTTCACGTGTTCAATACGTGGAGAAATACAAAACGTGGTACTATTGGATTGGCTCGAATAACCCTTCTTATGTCAGTAATGGTGAAGGACCGAGACGTTTGGTTGGACTGGACCGTTTTTATATTGACGAGTACGCGGTGAGCAACGCAGATTTTAAAAAGTTCGTCAACACCACTGGATACGTAACCGAAGCTGAAAAAAAAGGCTACTCAATAGTACATGATGAATACTTAGTACCATCTGCTAAAAAGAAAATTATACAGTCTAAGGTTATTACATTAGGGTATCTGACTGTAAGAAATGCTACTTGGAGGACACCTCTAGGAATCGGCTCCAGTTTATCAGGTATATCGTAACTAAGCTAATTTTTTATCATTTTTTTTTAATTTTCAAAGTTAAACTTGAACTCTTAATGCAAAGAGACTGACGCGACAAACATCAGAGAGTAACTATTTTATACGTTAAAAGAAAATGTTTTAAAATTTGTGGTTATTCATCACCAATGAAACAAGATTGTACATATTACATTGATCGTTTCCCATTTTACTTAGATTTAATTCTGCAAGATTTTTTGTACCACTTGAATAACTTTGAATACGAATACATAGAAAATTTTTTAAGATATGCAATATCTGTATCTATTTGATATCGACGATCATTTTGATGAAAAGGCAGTCCTAAGGACAATTTTTTTATTTTTTATGTTTTTATATATACACATCTACTCAACACTTACAATAGTAAACCCTTTCTTAAGTTATCAGAATGAATTTGTATATTGCTTACTTTCGTTTGAAATTTAAAAAAATACATTACGGACAACTATAAAACACTTAAAACTTTTGGCACGTAAACGTTTCTCAATATGTGTTGTGCTTTATCGTTGGCCAGTAATGTATATGATTATTTTTTGTAGCAAATTCATCAATTATGTACCAAATAATTAACTTATAGTTGTACTATAGTTTAACAGACGTGATATCGAGATTTTGTAGATACCCCAAAAATGATCTACCAAATGTAAGTATTTTTTAACACGTTAAGTACTCTTTTATTAGCTTGTATCTATCTAAACTGAACAAAAATACACAAATGAATTTGTGAAGCAATAACGCATCAATAAAATCGTAAACTGCGGAATCTCGCTGAATAACGTGAAATTGTAATTGCAGAATCAATGAACTTTGCAGTCGTGCATGTTTCTTGGAATGACGCCGCAGCTTACTGCAAGTGGGCGGGTAAAAGACTGCCAACCGAAGCTGAATGGGAGGCTAGTTGCAGAATCAAAGACAAGCTCATGGATGACATAACTGAGCATCCTCCTGGACGTTGTTCGCTAAAATTCAATGGTAAGCACAGGCTTACATTATATTGATCGTAGTATTTCGACGAGTTGTATTCAATATTTCTTCTAATATTGACATTTTTCAGAAAACAAGTGTCGAAGTCTCACGGATTTTGACATCAACGAGGACTGTTTGAAAGTAATGGGATTACCTGTTTATTATCAAACTTCTTTCTCGGAGTGGACTTCTGATTGGTGGGGAGTCAAGAATTCAAACCAAAATGATCTTAATCCTGTAAGTAAAATGTTACGTATCAAAGATAAGCTATGAAAATTTAAATTTAGCAGTTTTAACTTTTTTTTTCCTGTTAGTCTGACCATTACAAAAGCCTTTTAACTGCTTTTGTGGAGAAAAATTTCGATGCAAGAATTGAAGAATTTTTTTTTCATTTCAAGTGAACAATTTTTGTTGATCTTTTTTTTTATAATTTTTTTATGAAACTATTATCACTTCTTAGGTGTTGAAAATAGGGTAGTAGGGTACTAAATTATTTTATTTTTTGCCATTTCTTCTACCATATTATGATAAAAAAATAGACACATTATAATGACTTTGAGTCATAAAATATTTTTATCAACAAAATCCTGATACATTAATTTTCTAGTGATATCAGTGACTACCAGCAGAGTTCAAAGTAAAAAGTTTTTTTTCAAGGTTTTCTTCTAAAAGTGGCCCTGCGTTAGGAACTATTATTTTACTGGTGTTGAGATTTAACAATTATAATTTTCATACACTATTCTAAAAGCTTAGACTGATAGACTGAAATTGATATAGCTTATCTTGTCATTAAATAGTTGCCTAATTCTTCAAACTATAGAAAACTACAAAAATTATTTGTTTTTTCAGACTGGACCTGAACACGGGATTTATAAAGTAGTTAAAAACAGTTACTTAAATTGTGATGACAGCCAGGAATGTGTCAGATTGTCTCCATGTACTGATAGAAGCCCGATGTTTACTAACGCCACATTAAACGATGTAGGTTTCAGATGCGTCGCGACATCCCCAACAGTTAATTAAACAATTAACGAACAAGTTCTACGTGTATAAGTCATTATTTTGTTCTATTAGTCTTCTTCAACTCACTCATTCTTGTAAAACATTAAATCCTACTGTTTACATCTAATGTCTATATCGTTTTATATTAATTTTTAAGGGGTATTTGATAAAATAAGAATTACAAAAATAACAATGAAGATAACACTTAACGTTCCATCAAATAATATATATTGTTTTATAATAAAAATTATTCTGTAAGTCGATAATCTTCCGTTTCTCATTCAAAGTAAGATATACATTTCTGTATTCATTATTTGTCGGTAACTTTATCCTAATAATATTGAAAAACTGATTTTTTTATGGCAACTTGATGGTATTTAAAGCATTATTGCATAACCTTATCTATCTAGTGCTACACTTTACATTACTTCTTATTTAGTGTACAACAATAGATCCTACCTCATCATAGACAATAAAGTAATGTTATTATTACTTGAGATTGATCGCATTTCATTTAGCGTGAAAAGCTCCACTTATTTGAATTATTATCATAATATTAGGATGTATTTGTGATGGGTCTTTAATTAAAGCACACAAGTCACTTTTTATTAGCAAGGTTTTTAGTACCTTTTTTTTTTTTTTTTTTTTTCTTTTAAATAAATACCTAATACCGTAGTGTATTTATTGTGAAGCTTTTGTTGTATACAAGTACATTTTAAGCCTTGTTACAGCAAGGCACATTGTTACATTGTTATTTTACAATATTTGGTACAATTTTATTATTTGGTTGATGCAGTGATGATGTCACATAGACCACTTCAGTGAAGAATCTAAGAGATGGTTAAATTTTGCTGCTAGAAGGTCACCCATCCCTTCACGAGGAGCATTGCGTGGTGACAACGCCCTGTAAAAATTTACAGAGGTAATTGCTCAGGAGAGTCGCACTGACGGCTGGGAATCTAATTGCGGTCTCCGGCGTGTCGACCCGCAAACCAGCCGATCGAGCCACAGCGAGCTCTTTTTACTCTTATAAACCTTACATCTGTTGTTTCTCAGGACATAAACATTTCCTTAAATCAGATTTTAATTGAAAGTAACTTCTAATATCAAAAGCCATTTATAAGAGTGTGATGCAATATTTTAATTGATATGTCTATCTTCATTTTTACGTTTAGAAAGATCGTACACAAAACGGTTCTTCAAGGTCCAGAAATGTTCTATATTTTTTATGTGATGCTTCTATGTTCCTTCTGTTTTAATTATAACTTCTCCGTATGCAACATGTTTTGGGTAAAACAAAAAAATTTTTTTGCATACAAATCTTCTGTAGCCGAAGAAAAAATAATTTGTGACATATAATAACTAAGCATAGTCCATTTTTGTTTAGTAATACATATCACGCTTTTTATGGCTACGCCTCTGTATATTTTGACTGTCTCAAATAGTTTATATCCAAGCTATATTTAATTTGATGGATAACATTGTAGTGATACAGTAAGGTAACGATCGCATATTTACAAAAGCATATCAAAGAAAAGTTTGACTACATTTAAGATTGAAGAACTTGAAAATACTTGTCAGTTTTTTACTGTAACTTTTTAGTACAAGCTTTAGTTCGAAATACAGTTACGAAAGATTGTGAAACTTTGACTTTTTCATACCAAAATTTATTAAATAATCATGGTTGTATTAGAAAAACTACTTCTATTTTAGAGGACCTGTCTGTATAATACGTGTACAGCGAAGATGGGAAATATTTTCTGATCAACGGTTCTTATTGGTTTTGGTTCTTATCGGCAAATGATAATTAATTATAGTTTAGAGCCAAGGACCCTGATCTGAGCCTGTCTTGTGAAATTNAAAAGTAAAATCAAAGGTTTAAGATTTATGATATACATTATGAACAAGACCACAAAATAGAAAAATTATCAACAAAAATTGAGTAATTTAATGCCCCATAACTGACATTCAGATCAAAACTATGAAAATCAAAGCCTTAATAAATTAAATTTGCATGTATTCTAAAACAAGCCTACAAAAAAAATAAGTTAAAATGAAAAAGACTTCTAGCTCTACCAGTCGTTAGTCTCTAAGCTTGTTGATTCACGGGTAAAAAATCTTAAATGGTACTACAATTACTTATAAGTTAATTTTCTGTTTTTTTTTTCGGTCGTAAACTAGGTACCATTATAAGTTATAATTTTGAGAGATTTTTCGTTTTTTGTAAAGTAATTACTAACGAGATGATTTTTTAAATTATTCGTAGTAGCCCTTTTTATCAAAAATGTTATGAGATATTTAAAGACTACATCTATAGTAGGGAGCAAGTAACAAGCTTAACCTGTAAACTCCAGTAAAAGACAGTCATAATCAATGGCTATTATTTTATGCGGTTTGAAAGCAAAGATGGTTGATTCTTTTTTTTGTAATTCTAACGTTATTTATTAAATTTTTTTTGCTAGCTAGGGAATGTATTCACTTTTTTTTCCATGATAACAATGTTCATCCACAGAGTAGTAAAACTATCTATCCGACTTGCGATCTTGATGACTAGTTGTAGTAGTACAGAGCCAACACTGTTGCATGTAAATATTATTTTATGGGGCCAACCCATGTCTAACTTTAGAACAAATACAATATTGTTAACTATGACTATTTTACCACTATATCTCGACAACCAATCGAAATGGTCAAATTTCTAATTCCAACCACGATTTGGTGAAATTAAACCAGTTGTTATTTACATTTCAGTCTCGAAATATCGACCACCATAAAACGTAGACGTAATGACCACGAAAACGCAAGTCGCTTAACTGCCGCATAAAATCCGACCATTTTACGACTCGCCCTCAGCTAATGCGCTAATCCGTTTATTGCCGTTAGATTTCAATCTCGAGCTGGGCGCATAAACGAGTGCTTGCTTGACTCAACTGGTTCTCCGATGGTGGTATATTTCGATAAAACTACACCCATCACTGGAGCAAAACTTCATCTGTGTATCTGCATTTGTATGAGTGCTTCGGGTATTTTACAAAAGTTGAGGAACTAAAAATTAAGTCCGTAAGGCGGTAAGTTGATTTGCATTTACCTTTATTCTCGCTTAGAAGGTACGTCGTTTAATTTTTCCAAGTAGTTGTACAGTAGTTGTTTTGTTTTACCCTTCTTGGTATCAAATTTTAAGAAATTGATTCCATAACTATGTTTTTACTTAGCCCAAGTATGACTCACCATTTGTGAAAAAGAATGTTTGTACTTTAGAGTGATTGAAAAGGTGGTAATAAACTTTTAACATTCCCCATTTTTGTATTTCGATGTGTATACTTTTATACTTTGTCTGGACAAAAATGTTTTACAGAAGGTAATTTTAGGAGTAAATTCTACAAGTGAAAGTAAGAAAAAAGTGTTAGAAAGTGAAAACCAGTGGTTTCTATTTCTCATGTACTCATAAAGCACAGCAACTCCAGCTCATCAAAGTGGTTGGCCAACCAAGCTTTACGCTATCATAAATGACGCAACGATCTCGTGCTCATTTTATCACCTCAGCCTAGTAAATATAGCAAGACTTGCTAAGTAAAAGCAGCCCACTTTCCGTTGATGAGCTACATACGTGCGTGTTAACGAAAAACGTATGAAACGTTAACTTTAGTTCCCTCAAAGGGTAAAAGTTTATTCAAGTTCGTAATTATTTAAATATAAACATTTATATTAGTAATTTAAATATTTTAAGCGATAAAAAAGTCTTGCAAACTCGTACTATGGTTATTTTTTTTTGTAACTATGAAATACCAACTGCAATGCCTTTTTTTGTTTAAATTCTCTTCTTTTAACCTTGCTTTTAACTCAACAGCGAAAAAACTAATTGCTTTGAGCCCTTTTTATTCAGACCACGATTACACTAAATTATTTCAAATAATGTTGAATTTTTTAATCACATATGCTAATGCGGTAATGACAAAAGGTCTGATAAAAAAAAAAAAAAAACCATAAGTTTCTTCATATCGCCTTAATTGAAGAGAGAAAATGATGGCTTTGAGTTATTTCGTATCAATCAAAAATATCGCATGAAAATGTGGAGCTTCGTGTATTTTTCGCCCTATCTCATACGTATAATGTACCTTAAAATGGTAACCTATAAGCCGTTCTACAAAAAATTGTGAAACATCAAGTCTGTAAAAACTTTGGTTACTATTTAAAATACACAGGATCTTGGTGCAATATGCAATGAAGAGGACGATGCGATCGGCCGATAACGGCAAAACCAATTACTTGTGAGAAACAATGTCAAAATACTATTAAAAAAAAATAAATAAATAAAGAAAAAAGTTTTCCAAGTCATCGAGGCTCTGCGTATGCCATATTTCGCCGAGGATTACGATTACAGATAGTCGTAACTGGCCAGAGATCATTTTCCCGCAAAACAATGCGCTGGTGCAGTTTCTGGCTTTATCATTGCCGTTTGACTGTAAAAAAGTTTTTAAGATGTGTATCGTCCCTCAGGAAGTCAGTAGTTGTGAAACGAAAATTTATTTGCTAAGCTTGTCTCTGTTATTGTGTTTGTAAATTTTGTATTAAGAATTAGCCTATAAAAAGCGTGTATGATTCAAAGATACCAACTGTTCGAGTAAAAGTGTACGCTTCTAGAGTGAATATTGTTTAAAAATTTTATGTTAAACGGCATTTTTTAAATGATATACAGTTTAAAAGAAAAACAAACTTTAAATAAACAAACGTTACTTTTGACCATTTTGAACCAAAACATCTTTTATTTATCAAGCAGTAGTTTTATCTAAATTAAATAGAATCAGAAACAACTGAGATCATCACATACATAAACAAGTAAAAATAATAATTCAAAATCTGCTAAATTGTGAAATCGTATTTAGCAATAAATAACAGCTTTTCACGTCATTTAAACTTTCACTAAAAAAAATGAAAAAACACAAAGATGCAACACTAAATGAAAAGAATGGAGGTTTCCAGCTCGACAATAACACCTACTTGGAATCATCATTACGAAGTACAAAAAAAGAGACGTAAGATCACAGATAGGCAAAACATGAGTAAACAAAGGAACAGGTCGAGAAAACGAACGGGATGTTGTTGTGGCAGGTGAATAATATTTTTGATACACGCGCTGTGCTGCTTCTCATGGTATCCTTTCCTCCTACCCAGGAACCCTAATAATTGCGGAAACAAAAACTTGAGTTCTGTAAGTACACCAGCACAGCTTCACGAGAGGTTTTTCGTACGCTCTCCTACGAGGCAGCCAGGAATAAAGGAAAACGGAGAGATTTTTTCCTTTGACTTGTCTCCGTGCAGTCATTATCTCGCACCCGGTGTTTCTCAGTTTCCCTTCTCCCGAGACTCGTGCGGCCTTTTATAATGTATCCCAACCAACCCTCGTTACGTCTAATTGTGGAAGTTTAGCTCTTACCCCAGTTTTCGGTCTGCTGGAGGTTTTTCCTGTGCCCGAATGCACCCTGTGCCCGTTTGTGGGGCACGGTGTGTGTGTCTTCTATGTGGACGAACTTTGCTGGGCCAGCTTAACTCATCAGCCTCTGGAGTAAGCGAGAAATTGATGGACTATTTATCGTAACGTAAAGTTGATCAATATACTAATGGAATTCGTTTCTTTCAACTTTCGACGATTGAGAAGAAGACTCTCAAACCTTGACTGAGTTGAATCGATTGTAGCGTGAAAAACATGACAAGATCATTTGTGCGAGCTTGTCTGGAAGAAACTCTAAAATATGTCATTGGTGGTGTTAACGTGATAAAGGGTTTTTCAATGAAATAGTTGTGTGTTTCAAAAATGTCAGATCTTCTTTTTGTGGCTAAAAAGAAAATTTTTCAATACATTTTTTAGCCAAGGCTAAGCTATTGTTTTTAAGAAAACAATGACGAGTAGTGGAGGTTGAATAATCGCAGTATAATTTTTTTACCAGAACGTATCTTTTCTTTTAATTCGTTCAAAAGACTGAGCATTTTTATTTTCCTTTTTATCTTGTTGATGAGGAACGATTCAAGTTAATGATTTTAAATATTTTAGGTGAAAAAATTTTTTCTCGTGAAATTGTAAAACTCATAGCTACTTTTGAAAAAAATTCGAGAAAACTTTAAAAGTTATGCTCTTTTAAAATTTCGAAAGTGTTCCCTGGTAGAAACGTTACTACATAAACTGGCTAGAAACTCGTCAACATGTTATAAGCCCATTGACGCATGTACGTAGAAACGTTACTACATAAACTGGCTAGAAACTCGTCAACATGTTATAAGCCCATTTACGCATATACGTTAACGAGTTCCTACACTCCAAATCCACTTCCAAATTTTGATACAAAAAATTTTTTAGCTTACTCTACAGTAATATAAGCTTTTACAATTTTCAATAGCTTTTTTCCAATAGTTCCGCCCAAAAACTATAGTCAGTTCCATTTTTTCAAATTATAATTGATATTGTCCCATTTTATCCGTAATAAACAAACAATTTATTTACTACTCGCAGCAAAAATGCTAACCACAGTCACAACATACTTCCCTTCACAAAAAAAGACAAAAACACTCAAGGAAAAGTAACAAAAAAAACACCTCTCATGAATTCTCTTTACGTAAGACTACACTTAAAATTCAGTTTACCAATGAGTTTACCTTCATAAGGCACCTGTTACCCTCGCAACTTTCCCATGAAGCCGAGCTCTGCCGTTCTTTTTCGGTGTCCAACTTTCCGAACAAAAATCTAGAAACAAACGACTTCTCCAGACTCATCGATACTCAACAGCTTCATCCATCCAACACAAATTACATAGGGCAAAAAATCCTGGGCGACCGACTCGTTCAATGCAGCTGGTCTATTAGCCTCCCATAAATCACAGTGCACGCTCGAGACAACCCTCGTCACTCGCATCGTGGTGCACTATTTCGTGAACGAACATTCCACTCTCTTCAATTCATTAACGATACAAATGCGCACTGTCATGCTGTGGCACTGTAAATTCGCGAACTACATGGGTATGAATCCCGAGCTCGCTATTGTTTCGCGGGCATGTAAACGCATGCCTCAGCCATAGCCAAGCTTTTTTCCATATTATACGGATGAACGAAGACTCATACACCAGTTGCCTCTCGTAACTTTTCGGGTGTGTCTCGGCAGTGCACTACCTTGAGTTGCACATGCATAATGTATCTGTACAAAGTTACAAGTAATAGAGTCACATTAGTGCCATCGGCCTATCGGGCAAGCGATTCGTTGTCTCTTACATGAGTATTATTGTGACGCGAGTGCAAGTGAAAGGTTGCGCTTCCGCGTAACAAAGTGCGCCATTCAGTGGCAGCAGTGGTGTCTAGATAATGATGTACGTGCGAATGGCCAAAAGTTTCATGTATAGATGCGGTCTGGATAATGGAGCTACCTCCTACCATTGAGTATACACGTTTGTGGTGGAATGATGAGTGGGAGGAGGAGAGGTTTTTTTTTACTTACGCATGATGCGTGCGAGATTTAAAAATCACGTGTGCAGTGAGATACGACTTTGCCGAGTTGAATAAAAGATAGTGGAATCTGTCTTCATTTTCTTGCTTGCACTGATGATGATGATGATGATGATGATGATGATGATACTGTGGTAAAAAAGGTCTAGTGCTCGGATGAGATGAGATTTTTGGAGCACACATATGTGTATCATATCCACGAACGGTGATGAAATGGTTCTTTTGCCCTTGTTTTCCCTTTCCTTTAACTCTTTGTGTTATATCTCTTACCGTAACGATTGTCTGAGTTTGCACCAGCGCTCGATATCAATTTAAAATTGTACTTACGTTAATGTCGCGCAACGCAACGCAAGAAATACAGATACGCGAGGTAACAACGAGAGATCTGTTGTCGTCGCATAAAGCGATTTGCAAGTCACGCGATAGGAGTTATCGACGATTCGCACTGGCGATTAGATTGGGGTTGTTGTTCAAAAGTACAATGCTGTGTTTTTGTGAACTACGCTGTTGGATCGTGATCAGATTTATCAGCACAAATATACATACATAAATTTAAAAAAATGATATAAACAGAGTGCAATATGAATGGCAGTGTCGGCTTGGGGCTTGAGATCTACGTACTTGGAAATGAAGTGCTCGGATATTGTTGTCTTTTTTTGTTTTGTGATCAGTTTTTATGTGGTTAATGCAAAGTACAAGCCCAGGTCGGAGAGTTTGGATACTTGACCACTGCCTCCTTGGTACGACGAGGCTAAGTTTGGAATTTTCATCCACTGGGGCGTGTTTAGCGTCCCAAGTTTTGGGTCAGAATGGTTTTGGCAGTATTTAGAAGGTACGAACGATTAAAAAGATAGTCTTTGGCGTTTATTTTAAACTTATTTCTTAGATTCTTATAACATTTATCAAAAATCCAAAGTCTTTGGGGTAGTATTTTCCATCACAACGAGTTTGGAGTGAAATATTAACAGCAACTTTAAAAGTTTTTACCATAAAGACTTAGAAAAACTCTTTAGATGTTAGTATTATTACTCCAAACTTTAGATGAGCTTGTTTTTCAATTCAAAACCTATTAAACTAATGAACCTCACTATTCCCCAAAATTACTTTAATAGCACACAGTACCGAGTGATTCGTATCACATAGCATTTATTAAAAGTTAAAAATTTTCTCCTTAAGTTTTCTCATACGCGGTCCACTCTTAAATTGATATCTAAAGTTTTATTCGACACTGACCTATGGTCCCTAATTTTAACCTTGCAAATAAAGACAAAGTGCAAACAAACAGCAGCCAATTTTTGATAAGACTTTAATTGAATAAATCTGCAGAGAAGAGGCCCAAGTTTGTGGAGTTTATGCAGAAACGATATAAGCCAGGCTTTACTTATCAGAATTTCGCCCAAGACTTTACTACCGAGTTCTTCAATGCCTCTCAGTGGAACGAACTATTCGAGGTTTCGGTGCAAGGTACGTTGTCCTTACCAGCAAACATCATGAAGGTTATGCACTGTGGCCGACCAAGTATGCGTTTGGCTGGAACGCCATGGACATTGGGCCCCACAGGGACTTGATTGGTAAGTGAAGTTATTTTGACGGATTGGAAAAGTGATTTCCATAACCAAACGATTATTCGCAAACGACAGGAGAATTAGCAGCAGCAGTGAAGAAGAGCGGTAAGCTAAAGTTCGGATTGTATCACTCACTATTTGAGTGGTTCAACCCACTGTGGCTGGAGGACAAGAAGAGCGGTTTCAAGAGCACAACATTTGCTAAGAACAAGATCCTGCCGGAGATGAGAGAGGTGGTGGAGACTTATAAGCCCGAAGTGTTCTGGTCGGATGGCGATGCTGATGCACCTGACACGCACTGGAAGGCTGAAGAATTCATCGCATGGCTGTACAACGAGAGTCCCGTCAAAGACACGGTTGTGACTAACGATAGGTGGGGTATAGGAACCGCCTGCAAGCACGGGGATATTTACTCTTGTGCCGATAGATACAACCCTGGTAAGTATGAGATGCATTTATTATACTGGTTAGCTCTTATTTTTCTGGGTATGGTGGTTACATGAGTTTCTGGACAAGTTAAAAACATTTTGTTAAGTAACTGGGCTTGGGCTTACATTGCTTATTGTTTGCCTCAATTACTATTAGTCCTGTGGAGTTCCGAGAGTTAAGTTTTCATGGTAGATGAGTTCTGCTTTAGTTTAACTACTAAAAATCTATTAGTTAAAAATCCAAATCATTCCTAAATACTTTTACACTAATTGTCTACAACTTTGGCGAAGTAGTCATCTCATAATGCTAAGCCAACAACAACCATTCAAATAATATCTTTTACACATATAAATTCAGCGATGAATGAAAGTACTGATTTTAAGTCACTTAAATCCAATAATGGAATACTAAAACAATTTTTTCATTGGGTTCCCATTTTTTCTCCTTGAAACTGTTAATGACGAAACTAATTTATTTTGTCAGAATATTTTGTCGCAACTTTTATATGCAAAGAAATAGCTTATAATTTCGATGTCTAAGAACATTCCATGTATAACCAAAAAATAATTCGATAAGAAATTCTAATAGCATCCTTAAGTATACGTGAAACGGCACCGTAACGTACTCTAACCCTTACGTAGGCGTCTTACAAGCCCACAAATGGGAGAACTGCATGACGATCGACCGTAAGTCATGGGGCTTTCGGAGAAACGCTTTGCTGGACTACATGACTGTGAAGGATCTTATCAGTGAACTTGTTACCACTGTAAGCTGCGGGGGTAATTTGCTGATGAACGTTGGCCTTACCAAGGAAGGTATTGTTTCCACCCATTTTCGAGGAGAGGTTGCATGGAATCGGTAGCCATTTTTTACCATTCTTTTGTTTCTAAATAAAATTTAATTTTTGGGAAGAAAAAATAATAGCTGCCCATTTTTTTTTATCAAAGGACAATGGCTCGAGCTGAATGGAGAGGCTATTCACGGGAGCAAGCCATGGAGAGTTCAAAACGATACTCTGTCTGGTAGCGATGTCTGGTACACGGTTGGCCAGAACAAAAACCTTTACGCCTCGATATTGTCATGGCCCAAGGGAGATGTTCTGAGGTTAGAAGCAGTCCAGACAGTTAGTGATACAAAAATATCGCTTCTTGGAAGTGATATTGTTTTGAAAGTGAGTTTAAATACTAAGAAAACCCATGAATTTTTGATGATCAAGTTACATTTATAATATATTTATTCTTATTTAGTGGAAGCAGACAAACAATGCCCCTGTCATCTATTTACCCCAATCAGTTCACCAAGGAAGCCCAGCCTGGGTTTTGTGTTTTAAAAATTACATTTAATGTCAATATATTTTGAAAAAATGAGAATCAACTTCAATAAAATTCACTCTTTCGTTTAAAATTTTTTTTTTATTCTAAGTACATTTCTTAGACTATAAAGTTCTACTAGGTATTGCTCATCGCTTTATCATGAGCCAAATAAATTGAAGAGTAGATCAAGTGTTTTATCATTAACGTGTAGACGTATTTTCAGAATTATAGGCTACTTCCTACGACTAGCTTTGAACACAGTTCCACAGACACCTACTTCACTTCTCATTATGTCTAAATCTACGGTATCCTTTTCAATCATCACTGATAACTATAAACGTGTGTAAGTATGCATTAAGGTTTGTATCCATGAACGAATGAAAAGACCAAGAGATCGCCTCACAGACTAGCTTAGGTCTTAAATTATCAGACACCCCAACACACACGCGCGTGTGCCCCATAGAGACGTTCAAGAGACTAACTTTGCTCGCGGGAAGTAGGGTTTCGTTTGTAGATCCGATCTTCTTCGCTGTCCTTCTTATCTTTTTCCACGTTTTCCGTCTTCTTGGTGAGATCGTTAATTAAAACATGATTGCGACGATAAAATCGTTTGTTTAAGCTCTTGAGTGCTCCTTTTTCCTCTTTCCGCTTGATTCGTGGGGGTATAACTGCTAGAGTAAAGGAACAATTGTTTTGGGATTGGAGATTTTAATGATTGTAGTTGTGTCCCTTGTGGTGACCTAATTCCTGGAATGACAGAATGATTACGCTTTGGACCAAATTCCCATATTATTGACAATCGTTTGCATTCTGATTGTCTTGTTAGCTGTCTACAGAACTTAAACATTCGCCCATCACATTTTCAAGATCTACGAAATAACTTGTATCATGATAAAAGCCTAAAAAACAGTCATCATTTTTACGGTTACCACAAGCTGAATAATTCAACAAGCGGAAGTTGAAAGTAAAGTTGCAGGAAATCGACGAAAATAGTAGATTTTCTCGAATCTGGATTAATGTTGCAACCAAGAATGAGACGTTTTGAGACTCAACTAAAAAACAATTTTTTTTCATTTACTTTGGAATTTTTTTCCTGTTTCTTATTATTGACCACACTGAGAGCAGAATATTAAACTCAAGCTTGTCGCAATCGTGGAAATTAAGTATTTTTGAAGCTACTTTCGGAGTAGATACACTGTTTTTTTTTTTTTTAAGTTTCGAAAATGTATCGTGCACTCCTTTAATGAAGGTAAGAAAGTCATTGAAAATTGGGTATAAGTCTTGAATATTTTTCATAGAACAACTGAAAATAAATAAAAGAAGTGGTAGGTACTCATGTTGGTTTTTCGAGTAGTATTAACGTCACGAGTTTTAATGTAAAAGATAGACGTATATTCACAAAAAAATTAATAAAGAACTCTACGAAATTCTATCTCATGAAAAAACTTGATAATTTTAAAAACTGGATCCATCACCAGACGATTCTTTGTATTTGCATAGATGAATAAAAGCCCACCTTTTACAGAGATTTCATTTTAATGTCTTGCCTGCACTTGTAGTTAAAAAAAAAGCCTCGAGTGAAGAAAAATTAATGACAAACTGAGTAAGAAATCCTAGGATGCTGGCGATGGTGACGAAGAAGAAAAAAACAAATGTCGCGAGATGCTGTCTCGCATACCTATCCTGGTAGCTGTCTGCGCGTTGCCCTCGTGGTAAATAAGAGGGAAAAAGAGACAGGCTGGAGGCAAAAAATGAGTATGAAAAGCCGAGTCGATGATGAAAGACACTCGTCTTGGCGATGACTTTCTGGGAAATCGTTGAAGGCATTTTCTGATATTCCTCTTTTTCTGCGACACTGCACGTGCCGCTTCTCTCTCTCTCTCTTGTCTTATTGTCGCGAAAACACTCATACCCTTACGCATATATGTACATGATAGGTTGGACTTGCTGGAAGTAAAGAGAACAGGAATATAATGGCTGTGGGACGTGACTCTCGTTATGCACGTACAGATTAAGAGGCTTCCTTATTTACCATTGGGACATTTATCATTTGTTGTAAAGCTTATTCACTTTATACGAGTACAAGTGAAGTATCGCGTTAATCACGTACTGCGTTGTTAATGAACTGTTCTTTCTTTTAGTGACTGTTTCAATGATTTTTAAGGATTGCTTTTAAAATGGTTCTTGAGGAGACATGATGAGTTAAGGAATGTGATAAATCTTGAGTTTTTCCGACAGTCTTTGTAACGCTGAATTTATACAAAAAATTTTATCCGGCCACAAAGTGATTAGATTTACAAAAAAAATTTTTAAATTATGTCTCTCTATGAATAACAAATCAAAACTCGGTTAGTTCTGGTTGGAGATGGAGTATGTATCATGTATGGTATTGCATTTAAACCGTGTTTACTTGGGGCTCCTTGAGGATAAGCGATATCTCGCCAAGTCATGTGATTTCAAGACGTCAAGTACCGCATCATTTGGGTAAAGGCCCAAGAATTAAAAGACAGAAATACAAGCCATGTTAACTCTAAAAATTGGTCAAGAGAATTCTTAAAAATAAGATGTATTTATACATCCCCATACACAAAACTGAACATTTTATCTAGTGTGAAGTAATTCGATTCCAAAGTTCAGAAAACATATTTGTTGTAGTGTGATATATCTTCATGACTTTTCGTCCATTACAGAGTTTCGTGTACAAGGAAGCAGAAGAAAAACGAATACTAATAATTTATTAGCCTTAATCATCAATTTTAAAATAAATATTTAAAAATTTTTTGATATTTTTCTTTAGTGTTACCTCATTGATAAGTATACTTTACAAAAATGTTATGATGTTTAAGCTTTACTACTTTGCTGTAATTGTTAAAATCAAAAGTATAAGTCTAACATTTTTCAATGTCTCTTACTTGACAATGAGACAATAGAAAAAAATCAGCCACATTGCATCGAAAATGTTTCTGGGACTCTATAAATACAATCCCTTACCCATGAATATTTACATTTCTATACAAATAGTTTTTTTACAAGTAGTTCATGGTCTGTTAGATTGACTAACAAATAATCAATACTAGGGTAGCGATATAATGAAAAAAATTAACCATTTACGAAAAATTTATGTTAAAAAACTGATAAAAATAAAGTAAAACATTAAAACAGTGAGATCCAAGTTTCCTGTTTCAGTGATAACAATAATCATGCACTGGAATTGGTTGTTGAGATCCTGACATATACATACACGTATATAGTCTAATTTTCAGCAACCTGCTAGAAATCCTATCTTGGAACAAAAAAAAACCCCTGTTTTTCTTGTTCCATCAATCGGAGCAAGAAAAAAAAATGACTCGCAGCGGTAAAAAAAATAATCGTCCCTTTTCCGCGTCATTGTACAAAGTGAACCGACCTTGCTCTGCTCGCGTGTCCACTCTCGTAACGATTTGCTAATCACCGCCTTGTAAAATTCTATCCTCCGAGCGTATACACAGTACAGCACTCTTGCAGTAGTCTGAGAATTTATAGCTCCTGCCGCTACCTATACTTTTTCAGTGCAAAAGATACCGAGTTTTTCATCCCCGGCGATCTGCACGAAGGGGAAAAGGGAGCCCGATGACAGTGATTACGCTTGCTGCCTGCTCCCTCGCGTGGCTACCGGCATCTAGATAGGGCGAGAGAGAGAGAGAGAGAGATGCGTGCGAAAACGCCGGACGTCGCGTCGCTGGTGAAGAGCTAAAAATGAAAAGTTGCCAGAGGTGAGAGGGATCATTTTATCCCCGTAGGAAAAGGCTCGAGCAGCGGTGTCACATGGGCGTGTGCGTGTATAGCGTACGTTGTATACGCGAGCGGGGAAGGAAAAAAAGTCCTCGACGACAGGATGATTTGTACTTATGAAGATGTCGCGAGCTACCGTTTTATTTATTGCAGATGTGCACTTTATGCAAATGGACAGTGATGCTTATCGATAAACGTGGGCTGTCGATTCATTTTTTCTTTTTTTTTTTTCGTCACGTTGAGATGACGTACTTCCGGAACAATTTTTACACTCAAAAAAAAAAAAAAAACTTTTACACGTCTCAATTTTGTTTTACGAATAGTTGTTACGCCCACGGAAAAAGGGACAGTGAAAAAAGTGTCGGACCTTCTCATTCGAATAAAAGGCTCTTCAAGAGCAGAGTAATTACATCGACGTGCAGGTATCTCGATGGATAAATCCCTAGCAGCGGTAATCCCTAGTGACAAGTACATTAAAACCAATACGAGGAGTTTGTTAATTCTCTCGGGTGCACATGCGCCTGCTGAACGATGATGAAAGAAACAGGATTTCATTATTAAAGCGTTCGCAGAAGCTGACGGGCAAGGACTTATCGGTGCATTAAAGCCGCTACCGTGCCGTGGAGAATCATCAAACGAGTTTCCATGCGGTGGCTGAGAAATAATCCTTCCGATCAAAGTTTGATGGTTTTTTTTCTGTTGTATCCTTTCAAGTCCTTTAATCGACCGACAGCTAATATTTTACTTAGGCTGGAGATAAGTACATCAAGTGGATCAAAAATAAATAGTAACTCGTACTCGAATGGCAGTAGCTCCAGAAAACGTCCGCGTGAAACTTCCCAAAATTTGTCACGATATTTTTACTATAATGTTATTTTTGCTCATGGCGTTACGTGAATTTTTTCAACATAACCAATCAAAAGCTCGGTTTGAAGAAATTATAGAATCGATGCAATGTTGGTTAGTCTAAAAGTAGAAAAAATAAAAACGAACATGTCAAGAACTTACGTAAGCAGGATTGAAAAACTCAAAAAATAAGCAAAAAAACTAAACAGGAAAGTTTTTTTCACTGTTTTGACCCAAAAATATAAGACTTAGTTTTTTTTTCTCGTGAACAACTCAAACTTGGTTTGAATTTAGAAAAAAAAACTGTGAGAAATCCTTTTTTCATTCGTCTGAAAGTATATGATACTGAAATTATCTATATGCTATGATATATGCACCTAACAAATATTTTGCAAGTTACCCGAATCCCTAAA